TAATTTTTCAATTTTTCGACTTTACGATTTTCCGAATTTCCGATTATCCAATTTTTGGTTTCTTTCATTTTTGGATATTCTAATTTTTTAAATTATAATTCTCGATTTCCAATTTTTTAGTTTTCCAGTTCATCCATATTTCAATTTTAAGATTTCTAAATTTTTAAATTTTTGATTTTTCAGACTTTGGATATTTAAATTTTGATTTTCGATTTCTTAATTTATCGATTTTCCATAGTTTCGAATTTTCAATTTTTCAATTCTTCAATTGTTCGACTTTTAGATTTCTCGATTTTTCAATTTTTCTATTTTTCAGTTTTCAATTGTAAAATTTTAAAATTTTCAGTTTTCCAATTCATAACTTTTCGATTGCTAGATTTCTTGTTCTTTTGATGTGTCTTCCCTTTTCCCTGTTTCAGTTTTTTGTTTTCCTAAATTTTCGTCATTCAAATTTCGAAGATTTTTCAGTTGTTCAATTTTTGCGATTTTTTATATTTTTCAAATTTGAGATTTTTCGATTTTTCCATTTTTCGACTTTTCGATGTTGCGATTTTCCGATTACATATTCAATTTTTGAATTCTTTAATTTTTGTATATTCTAATTTTTCAATCGTTTACATTTTAGAATTCTCGGTTTCCAATTTTTCGATTTTTCAGTTCTTCGGTAGTTCTATTTTTAAAGTATTTTTGGAAAATCAAAAATTTAAAAATTTTTGATTTTCCAATTTACTGATTTTTCAAATTTTGCTAAACGATTTTTTAAATTTTGATTTTCGATTTCTTAGTTTGTCGACTTTTCAAAGTTTTCGATTATTCGATTTTTCAATTTTTTTATTTATCAAACTTTCAATTTTTTAATTTTAGATTTTTTATTTTTCAGTTTTTCGATTTTTCGATTATTCAGTTTTTGGGTTCTTTAATATTTGAATATTCTAATTTTTCAATTTTTTAAATTTTAGAATTCATGATTTCCAATTTTTCAGTTTTTCAGTTCTTCGATGTTTCCATTTTTGCAATTTTTGAAATTTTTTTTACCAATTTTTGGATTTTTTAAATTTTGGTTTTCGATTTCCCAATTTGTCGACTTTTCAAAGTTTCGAATTTTCAGTCTTTCAATTCTTCAATTGTTCGACTTTTAGATTCACCGATTTTTCAGTTTTTCGATTTTATAAATTTTAATTTATTTATAATTTATTTATAATTTATTATATTTTTCTCATTTTTCCCTGTTTCAATTTATTTGATTTCCTAAATTTTCGCCATTCAAGTTAGGTAAATTTCAATTTCTCGATTTTTCAGTTTTTCAGTTCTTCAATTTTCCAATTTTCAATTTTTGCAATTTTTTGTTAAGTATTTTTCAAATTTAGGATTTTCGATTTTTCAATTTTTTTATTTTTCCATTTTTAGAATCTTCGATGTTGCGATTTTTCGATTATTCAATTTTTGAGTTCTTTAATTTTTGAATATTCGAATTTTTCAATTTTTTAAAATTTAGAATTCTCGATTTCCAGTTTTAAGATTTTTTCAATTCTTCGATATTTCTATTTTTCAACTTTTCGAGTTTTTAAATTTTTGATTTTTCAATTTACTAGATTTTCAAATTCTGCGATTTTTTTTTGGTTTCCGATTTCTCAATTTGTCGACTTTTCAAAGTTTCGAATTATTAGTTTTTCAACTCTTCAAGTTTTCGATTTTTCGATTTAATTTTTCAATTTTTTTATTTTAGATTTTTAATTTTTCAATTTTTCGATTTTTCGATTATGCATTCAATTTTTGGCTTCTTTAATTTTTGGATATTCTAATTTTTTAATTTTTTAAATTTTGGAATTCTCGATTTCTCAATGTCCAATTTTTCAGTTTTCCAGTTCTTCTTTATTTCCATTTTTCGATTTTTCGAAATTTTAAATTTATATAAATTTTGGTTTTCGATTTCCCGATTTGTTGACTTTTCAAAGTTTCGAATTTTCAGTTTTCTCAATTTTTCTATTGTTCGACTTTTCAGTTCTTGGATATTTCTATTTTTCGATTGTTCGAATTTTTAAATATTTGAATTTTCAATTTATTGTTTTTTTGCGATTTTTTAATTTTTGGTTTTCGATTTTTCAGTTTATAGACTTAAAAGTTTCAAATCTTCAATTTTCCAATTTTTAACTTTTCGATTGCCCGATTTCTCATTTTTTGATGTTCCGACTTTTCGACTTTCCGGCATTTCGATTTTCCAATTTTTCGATTATTCAAGTTTTGAGTTCTTTAATTGTTGAAAATTCTAATTTTTCAATTTTAGGATTCTCGATTTCCAATTTTTCGATTTTTCGAATTTTTAAATTTTTCGCTTTTCAATTTACTGGATTTTCAAATTTTGCGATTTCTTTTTAGTTTCTGATTTCTCAATTTGTTGACTTTCCGAAGCTCCCAATTTTCAGTTTTTCAGTTGTTTCTCGTTTTTTGATTTTTCAATTCTTCGATTTTTCGAATTTTTAATTTTTGATTTTTCAATTTATTGACTTATCGAACTTTCCAATTTTCAGTTTTTCAATTCTTCAATTGTTCACTTTTAGATTTCACGATTTTTCAGTTTTTTGATTTTTTTAAATTTAAAATTTTTCAGTTTTCCAATTTTTAGCTTTTCGAATGCTCGATTTCTTGTTCTATTGATGTTTCTTCCCTTTTTTCCATGTTTCAATCTATTTGATTTCCTAAATTTTCGTCATTCAAGTTTCGGTAAATTTCAATTTCCCAATTTTTCAGTTTTTCAGTTCTTCAATTTTCAGATTTTTCAATTTTAGCGATTTTTTATATTTTTCAAATAGGATTTTCGATTTTTGGATTTTTCAATTTTCCAATTTTTAACTTTTCGATTGCTCGATTTCTCATTCCTTTGATGTTCCGACTTTTCGACTTTCCGGCATTTCGATTTTCCAATTTTTACGATTTTTTTTAATATCTTAAATTTAGAATTTTCGAGTTTCGATTTTTCTAACTTTTTATTTTTCCATTTTCGATTTCTGAAATGAAATTCTTAAATTTTTAAATTTTTAATTTTTCCATTTTTCGATTTTTCGATTATGCATCCAATTTTTGGCTTCTTCAATTTTTGGATATTGCAATTTTCCAATTTTTTAAATTTTAGAATTCTGATTTCTCGATTTCCAATTTTTCGATTTTTCAGTTCTTCGATATTTCCAGCTTTCAATTTTTAGATTTTTTGAATTTTGGCTTTTGATTTCTCAATTTATCGACTTTCCAAAGCTCCCAATTTTCAGTTTTTCAGTTGTTCGATTTCTCGATTTTTTGATTTTTCAGTTCTTTCGATTTTTCGAACTTTAAAATTTTTGATTTTTCAATTTATTAACTTTTCAAAGTTTCCAATTTTCAGTTTTTCAATTGTTCAATTGTTCGCTTTTAGATTTCTCGATTTTTCAGTTTTTTGATTTTTTAAACTTAAAATTTTTCAGTTTTCGAATTTTTAACTTTTCGATTGCTCGATTTCTTGTTTGTAAATTTCAATTTCCCGATTTTTCACTTTTTAGTTCTTCAATTTTCAGATTTTTTATATTTTGCAAACAGGATTTTCCATTTACAATTTTTCGATTTTTCAATTAATTGGTTTTTTCAATTTTTGCGATCTTTTAAATTTTGGTTCTCGATTTCTCAATTCAACTTTTCGAATTTTCCATTTCTCGATTTTTCAATTTTTTTATTTCTCAATTTTTCGATATTTCTGTTTTGGAATTTTTCAATTCTCCTATTTCGATTTCTTGGTTTTTACTTTTTCAACTGTTCAAGTTTCCGATTTTTAGATTTTTCAGTTTTTTGATGTTTCGATTTCTTCTTCTTTCGGTTTTTCGATTTCCCGGTTTCGGATTTTTCGATTTTTCAATTTTTCGACTTCTCGAATCATCAAAAGTCAATAAATCGAACAATCGAAAACTCAATGGCTCGATTTTTTGATCTTTTTCTCTCTCATTTTTTTCGATTTTTCGTCTTTTCGACACTGCAATTTTCCAATTTTTTGATGTTTCGATTTTTCAGTTTTTCTATTTCCAAATTTTCTTGATTTCAATTTTTGAATTTTTGACTTTTACTTTTTATCTTAATTTTGTAGTCCTTTAAATTTTAGATTTTTTGATTTCTTGCTTTCCGATTTTTCGTTTTTTTCAATTCTTCGTATCTCTATTTTTCGACCCGTCAAATTTTTGAATTTAACATTTTTCGATTTTTCAATTTATGGATATTTTTCTAAAGCATATAAGATAAAATTAGGCTACACTTTAAGGGCGAAGAAAGTACTGTCGAAATAACCTTCGACCGATTTTTATTATTATTATTGTAGTTTTTCCTGTCGGCGACCACGCCACTGGTGTCCCACACGAATTTGTCTTTCTTAGTGGCAATAAACTCTGAAGATTTGTTTTTCGTGAAGATTAAGTGTCCGTTGACTTACCAGATCCATTTAATGAATTCTTTAACGAATTTCAGTTCGTCAACATTTGTTGCGAAGTCACGACTAAGCAAAGTGAAGTGAGCTTAAGGTGCCCCGCTGTGTTGTAAATCAGCGACGACTGATATTCAGACCCAAATAAAAAAATTAAACGGCCTTAATTAATTATGAAAAGGCCCCCAGCTTCGACTGTTTAATGCCAAATTCATTAACGACGTTCCGAGTGTTACTCGAACCAAATCAATACTCCCCCTAAAATAAAAAATACAAAGCAACACACTCGCCGCTGAAATTTCATTAAACCATCTCCCATCGAGCCAAAACTGCGCACAAAATTTGTCTTGGCCGTCCCTTAATAAAAAGCCCCGTCGAGCACTTGTTTGTCATTCACGAGTGTTCCTTGACCCCAAACATCCCCATTAATGAATTTTTTGCGAGCGATTGTTTATGCGTAATTAAAATCGTCGTAAGCGTTGCCGTTTTTCTGCATGATTTGAGCCGACTTAATGAGATTGTTATTTATGGAGTCATCAATTATTGAGGGTCTCGTTCGTTCCAGATCTTTGTGTTTCGAGTACGAGCGCATCCTTCGTTCCCCAACTACGTACAATGCGTCTCGTTCGGGTTCTTCACGTCGACGTCTCAAGAGATCGCCTACAACTTAATGTGTGTCATGTGTATGTACTTCATCCCGTTGTTCGTCATCATTGTCGCCTACACGGCCATCATGTGCGAGATTTCGAAGAACTCGCAGGAAACGAGGGGTGAGTAGAAGGGGAGTCATGTAAAGAGCGGATTTTAGGCTAAAAAATGTTAAATAGGCCCTAAAATAGGCAATAAAAACAGGGGATTTAGGCAATTTTACACATGTACGTTTTTTGTGAGATATACATATTTATTTTATTATTTTACATATTCAGCGATCCTAATCTTCGACGAAATTTGCATAACTAATTGGATATTTTTCTAAATTTTCGTCAGAAAATTTTGGGTTATAGTCAGTCAATTTTTAAACTCGTAATTCCTTTTTTTTTAATTTTGATTTTTGAGATCATTCAATTTTTGATGTTTCAATTATCCGAATTTCATTGTTCCGATTTTCCAATATTTTGATTTTTAATTTTCCAAAATTTCTCTTTCCAATTTTTCAAGTTTTTGATTTTTCAGTTCATAATACTCGTATTGCCATTTTTCTATTTTTAAATTTTGTAATTTGCAAGTTTTTGATTTTTCAGTTTAATAAATTTTTAAGTTTTTCAGTTTTATAATTTCACAGTTTTTATTTTTTCTACTTTTAATTGTTCAAAATTTCAATTTTAATTTTTCAAGTTTTTGATTTTTCAGGTTCATTATTTTAGAATGTTTCGTTTTATAATCGTACGATTTTTCAATTTTTAGATTTTACGCTTCTCTGATCTTTTAATTTTACATTTTTACAATTTTTGGATGTCAATTAAATAGTCAATTTTCAATTCTATAATTCTTTCTTTTTGGAAATTTTTATTTTCGTAATTATCAATTTTGATTTTCCAGTTCCTGGATTTTAATTTTTCAAAGTTTCCACTTCCAATTTTTCAATTTCATAATTTTGCAGTATTTCGCTTTTTAAATTTTGTAATTTTTCTGTTTCAGTTTTAAAATTTTTGGATTTTCAATTTCGTGTTTTCGCAATTCCAATTTTGTAATTTGTACTTTTTTGACTTCTTAATTGGTTTTAATAATCCATTTTTCAGTTTTCAATTTTATATTTTTTCATTTTTTAATTTCTCCTTTTTTAAATTATTCCGTTTTTGATTTTTCAATTATCCCAATTTCATGGCTTCGATTTTCCGATTTTAATTTTTTAAAATTTCCATTTTAACTTTTCAAGTTTTTGATTTTTCAGTTTCATATTTTTACACTTTTTTGATTTCTTCTAGTTTTTAATAAATCCATTTTTTCAATTTTTTGATTTTGGAATCCCTCGATTTTTCAATTTTTCGATTTTTTATTTTCCAGTTGTTCGTTTTGTCAATTTAATAATTTTGCAGTTTTTCATTTTTGCACTTTTCTATTACGTAATTCTGCAATTTTTATATTACGTTTTTTAATTGTTCAAAATTTTAATTTCAATTTTTTCGATTTTTCAATTTAATTATCTTATTCTAATTTTACATTTTCACAATTTTTGGATGTCAATTAGTTGGGTTTTAAAGAATCAGTTTTCAATACAATAATTCTTTCTTTTTAAAAATTTTTCATTTTTGTAATAATTATTCAATTTTGATTTTTAATTCTAAAATTTCGACTTTAAATTTTTCAAGCTTTTGCAATAATTTTGCAATTTTTTGCTTTTTAAATTTTCTAATTTTTCTATTTCACAGTTTTAAACTTCCTCGATTTTCAATTATATATTTTCGCAATTTTTCAGTTTTACAGCTTTCTCGATTTCATAAATACCACATTTTTCAATTTTGCGATTTGTAATTTTTTGACTTCCTAATTCGCCGTTTTCTAATGATGAATTTCACAGTTTTATATCTTCATTTTTAAAATTTCTCGTTTTTTAAATGATTCCATTTAATTTTTTAAAATTCCGAATTTCAACTTTTCAAGTTTTTGATTTTTCAATTTTAGTTAGCTGATTTTCCAATTTTTCGGTTTTATGATTTTTCGATTTCACAGTTGTCTGTTTTTAATGCATCAGATATTCAATCATCATATAATTATCGATTTCTCAACTTTTCGATTTTACATTTTTACAATTTTTGGATGTCAATTATTTAGACTTTAGTTAATCAAATTTCACTTCTATAATTCCTTCTTTTTAAAATTTTTCATTTTTGTGATTAATAAATTTAGATTTTCCAAATTTTTGGTTTTTCAAAATTTCTACTTTCAATTTTTCAAGCTTTTGATTTTCCAGGTTTTTGCTTTTTAAATTTTGCAATTTTTCTGTTTCACAGTTTTAAAATTTTTATTTTCAGTTTTATATTTTAGCAATTTTTCAGTTTTACAGTTTTCTTGATTTCACAATTATCCAATTTTTCGATTTTGTGATTTGTAATTTTTTGACTTCTTAATTCCCCGTTTTTTAATGATCAATTTTTCAATTTTCCATTTCTTAATTCCTCATTTTTAAAATTTATCAATTTTTGATTTTTCAACTATCCTAAATTCGTTGTTTCGATTTTCCAATTTTCTGAATTTTAATTTTTTAAAATTCCGACTTTCAACTTTTGAAGTTTTTGATTTGCTTTTTTGTAATTTTTTGACTTCTTGATTGTCCGATTTTTAATTATCATTTTTCAGTTTTCAATTTTATAATTCCTCTTTTTTAAAATGTATCGTTTTTTAAATTATTCCATTTTTGATTTTTCAATTATCCCAGTTTAATTGTTTCGATTTTCCAATGTTCCGATTTTTAATTCTTTTAAGTTCCGATTTTCACCTTTTTAAGCTTTTGGTTTTTCAATTTTATAATTTTTCTGTTTTAATTATCTCATTTTTCAATTTTTCGATTGTATCATTCAATTTTGTAATTTTGCAGGTTTTTGATTTTTCAAATATTCGGTTTTTAAGAATCAATTTTCAATTTTGATTTTTTAATTATCAGATTTTCGAGTTTTTCAATTTTTCATTTTTCAGTTCTTCGATATTTCACTTATAAAACTTCTCTTTCCAAGTTTTTGATTTTTCAGTTCATAAAACTCGTATTGCAATTTTTCTATTTTTAAATTTTGTAATTTTCTGTTTAGAATTACGAGTATCTGATTTTTCAATTTTTCGACTTTAAAATTATTCGATTTATAATTCTAGGTTTTTGCAATTTTTAGGTTTTATGACTTTTCGATTTCACCATTTTCCAAATTTTCATTTTGTAATTTGCAATTTTTATTTTTTCTACTTTTAATTGTTCAAAATTGCAATTTTAATTTTTCAAGTTTTTGATTTTTCAGTTTCATTATTTTAGGATTTTTCGTTTTATAGTTATATTTTACGCTTCTCTGATTTTTTAATTTTACATTTTTACAATTTTTGGATGTCAATTAAATAATCAATTTTCAATTCTGTAATTCTTTCTTTTTAGAGTTTTTCATTTTCGTAATTATCAATTTTGATTTTCCCGTTTCTGGATTTTAATTTTTCAAAATCTCTACTTCCAATTTTATAAATGTCACAATTTTGCAGTTTTTCGCCTTTTAAATTTTGTAATTTTTCTTTTTCAGTTTTAAAATTTTTCGATTTTCAATCTACTGTTTTCGCAATTTTTCGGTTGTACAATTTTTTTTGTAATTTGTACTTTTTTGACTTCTTAATTGTCCGGTTTTTAATGATCAATTATCCCAATTTCATTGCTTCGATTTTCCAATTTTTTGATTTTAATTTTTTTTTAAATTCCGATTTCAGCTTTTCAAGTTTTTGATTTTTCAGTTTCATATTTTTACACTTTTTCGATTTCTTTTAGTTTTTAATGAATCAGTTTTTCAATGTTTAATTTTTCAATTATCAGATTTTTGATTTTCTTGATTTTTCAATTTTAGAATCCCTCGATTTTTCGATTTTTTATTTTCCAGTTGTTCGTTTTTACACTTTAATAAATTTTCAAGTTTTTCTGTTATGTAATTCCACAATTTTTATATTATTTTTTTAATTGTTCAAAATTCAATTTCAATTTTTCAAGTTTTTGATTTTTCAATTCAATTATCTTATTACAGTTTTTCGTTCTAATTTTACATTTTCACAATTTTTGGATGTCAATTAGTTGGGTTTTAATGAATCAATTTTCAATTTTATAATTCTCACTTTTTTAAACATTTTCATTTTTGTAATTATTCAACTTCGATTTTTAATTTTCAAAATTTCTGCTTTCAATTTTTCAAGCTTTTGCATAATTTTGCAGTTTTTCGCTTTTTAAATTTTGTAATTTTTCAGTTTTACAGTTTTTTCGATTTCACAATTATCCAATTTTTCAATTTTGTAATTTGTTCATTTTTGACTTCTTAATTGCCCGGTTTTTAATGATCAGTTTTTCAATTTTCAATTTTATATTTCTTCATTTTTTAAATTTCTCGTTTTTTAAATTATTCCATTTTTGATTTTTCAATTATCCCGATTTCATTGTTTATATTTTCCAATTTCCTGATTTTTAATTTTTTTTAAATTCCGATTTTCTGAACTTTTCAAGGTTTTGATTTTTTAGTTTCATATTTTTCACTTTTTCGTTTTTTTTTAATTTTTAATGAATCAGTTTTTCAATTTTTAATTTCTTGATTTTTCAATTTTTTAGATTTTGGAATCCTTCGATTTTTCAATTTTTTGAGTTTTTAATTTCCAGTTTTGTAATTTTACAATTTTTCAAGTTTTTGAATTTTCAGTTTAATTATTTTAGAATTTTCGGATTTCGGAATGCTTCGATTTTTCGATTTTATAATTTTACAATGTTTCATTTTTTTTATTTTTAATTCTTCGAAATTGAAATTTTAATTTTTCAAGTTTTTGATTTTTCAGTTTACTTATTTTAGAATTTTACAATTTTTCTGACTTTTGATTTCACATTTCTACAATTTTTGGATGTCTCCATTATTTTGGTTATGGTTAATCAATTTTTAATCTCATAGTTCTGCGATTTTTTAGATTATTTAATTTTTGATTTTTTAATTATCCGAATTTCATTGTTTCGATTTTCCAATATTTTGATTTTTGATTTTTCAAAAGTTCTGTTTTCAATTTTTCGAGTTTTTGATTTTTCAGTTTTCTATTTTGTAATTTTTATTTTTTTTAA